ACAAAGAGATCCGTACCCACCCTTTGCCACGGGTAGTCTGGAGTGACTGTCGGCTTCAATGGTTCTGGGCTGACCTTTCTACTTTCTTTCTTTTTCGCAGTTTGGACAGTTTGTAACCAACGTTTCGATTTGCTGTGACAGTCCTGGCCACCACACACTACTTCGAGCCTGCGCTCTTCACTTGACAATCCCCTGGTGTCCTTCGTGAAGACGTTTCAAAATATCTCGTCTTAATATTGTGGAAATAACTAGTCGGCACTGGTATAGTAGCAAACCTTGTTCCATTATCAGCTCGTCTCTCGACGTCCAGTATTAGGCGAATAACTTTAGCTGTGCATTTCACTATGGGGGTAAAAAAATTGAAACAAAGATGGTTTTTGTGTCATTAGAACCAGAAAACTTTCCTCTTTAACATACTGAAAATCGGCATGAATCGGAATGGAGAAAATATGTTAAAAAATGCCGTTTAATGGTGTTGTATCGAAATAGTCAAATATCGATACCGAATCCTTTCAGGATCGCACGATATATCTCACAATACACCAATCTGACACCCCTGCACCGGACTCTATTCCTTAAAACATATGTTTCTTGTCCTAACTGGAGGACTTTGAGGGGTAAACCCTAAGATTTTTTATGGGAATCCCAAAAAGGTTGAGTAGTAATGTGCATTGAGTAATCGATACTAGTAACCACGAGAACTCGCGCTATTTATAAAGAGATACAATTGACCTTGACCTTAACCATCAATGATAATTTATTTATAGAGGCACCAGCCTTCCATGTCCAGGTGCTGTTTCAGCCTCTTTCCTGTCTGCGGATTAATATTCTTTTTTCAAATTGGTTCCGCTTCCATGTACCCTGTATCTATGGTTCTCAACCTGGAAATCGCCTATAATTCGCTACTGTGCCCCCCCCCCCCCATACACCTTTTCTCGATCCTCCCCCCCCCCCCCCCCCTAATAGTGTCATCATTTATGTAACCGTCCATTCTTATCGATAAAACGATTAAGGCAGGGCAGTATTAATGATAATTAAGAAAAATGAAAATTTGATAATAAAAAGAAATACCTCAATTGAATAGTAAATAAATAAATAAATAATGCTAATGATTATCATAATACTAATATTAAGAAGAAGAAGAAGAAGAAGGAGAAGAAGAAGAAGAAGAAGAAGGAGAAGAAGAAGAAGAAGAAGAAGAAGGAGAAGGAGAAGAAGAAGAAGAAGAAGAAGAAGAAGAAGAAGAAGAAGAAGAAACAGTCCATAACTACAATATCAAGAACGATAATACTAACAATAGAATTGATTTGAGTAAAAAAATGAAATAATTTTAAAAGGAGGAGGAGGAGGAGGAGGAGAAAGAAGAAGCAGAAGCAGGAGGAGGAGGAGGAGAAGAAGAAGAGGAAGAAGAAGAAGAGGAAGAAGAAGAAGAAGAAGAAGAAGAAGAAGAAGAAGAAGAAGAAGAAGAAGAAGCAGGAGGAGGAGAAGAAGGAGAAGAAAGAGGAGGAGGAGGAGGAGAAGAAGAAGATACAATTGACATGAGATGAGAGAAAGCTAGGGAGGGGGAAGAAGGAGGAGGAGAAGAAGAAGAAGAAGAAGAAGAAGAAGAAGAAGAAGAAGAAGAAGAAGAAGAAGAAGAAGAAGAAGAAGAAGAAGAAGAAGAAGAAGAAGAAGCAGGAGGAGGAGAAGAAGGAGAAGAAAGAGGAGGAGGAGGAGGAGAAGAAGAAGATACAATTGACATGAGATGAGAGAAAGCTAGGGAGGGGGGAAGAAGGAGAAGAAGAAGAAGAAGAAGAAGAAGAAGAAGAAGAAGAATTCCATGACGATTGTATCTAGGACAACAATTACGTAACCACTTACGCGGCTTGGTTACGAGTTGCCAGGTTTCCTAATTAGTAAGGCAATAGAGATGGTTCGCCTAATAGTAATGGACATTACACTCCCCACCAACCTCCGCTTTTATGTTATTCTTTTCCTTGCTCCCCATCAGTTGTTTCTCTTTCAGGTACTGTGGTCCATAATATAAATATACTGTGCCATTCACCTCATGCAGATGGTCTTCCAAAATTGTCATCAGATCCCGAATATTGATCTGCTCATTTTCATTTGCCTTCAGACAGGATACAACATAATGAACGGCATCAATCTTTAGAGCATCTTGAGGTCTCTGTGATGTCTTTTTTTTTTCAAAGATACAACTTCTAATATAACAACATGGTGGCTGCTTAAAAATTTTGAAGTTGCATCTGAATAAAAACGACCGAGATTAGTCGTCCATTCATCCTTTGTATGTGTCCTGACTTTGGGTCTCGGTTCGCACGCAAATGACATTATAGGCCCCAATGACTTTGTTTGATAGCAAAGTTTTCTTTTCATACCATAAACATTCAGCGGGTGCTAAATAGGAACTCTTGGAGACTTTGTTTGTGTTTCAGCCCGTTAAGCTTCCTGGACGGTAACTAGTCTTTCTGTGTTTTGCAAAAAGATTTTGCACTTATGTAGATCGGTGTCAGGAAATGTACACTTGGTGTCCTTCAGTCACATCTATATTGTTCTTTTTATGTTGTAAGACTGACAGACTACCATTCACACCTTGTACTGTCAATTGCACAAGGGGCAATTCTTTAGAGGGAAATTACACAGTAAACAAACATGGACTGAAAAGCATTGACTGAGGGTGTGAGAAAACACATTTTTAATATATTGGCTCCCCATACTTTTTACATAAAAAGCGCTGATACCGATGACTATTACACCATTTTCGGGAAAATCCATATATAAATTACGTAAACATTCTCGCGTCAAAGCAAGTATGATCAAACGATTTGGTCGTAATCTAAATTTTGCTTCTTTTTTTTTACAACTTTTAACATATTTTTAAACAATTTCCGACACGATTTCGAATGTCGATTTGTATTATGTTATTACACGCAATTTTATCTGTCGAATCATATATAAGTTTTATTTTTGTTGCAATTTTTTAGGGTCTACTCTTATCTTTCTTCCACTATATTATTATGGCTTCATAACTGGATCGACTTTGGTTGTCACTGGCCATGAGGACTGACTGTATTCTTTTAATTTCTTACAGATTTCGTCTGCATCTTGCTGATCTCTATTTTTTTGCAATTTCATGTCACTTGCTGGGAATCCTTCCAGGACAGCTCACACTGTTCTTCCATTTGATGATCTTCTTTATTTGGCACTCCCACCGGAGCTCTTGACAATGCATCGGCTGTTACCAAATTATTTCCTGGTACATGGACAATGTTGTAGGAAACCCTCATCATTCTCATCCTAAATCTTTGAATGCGAGGGGTCAATTCATCCAGATGCTTTGTTTTCATCAGTGCAAGAAGTGGATTGTGATGTTTCAATCAGGAATTTTGGCAATCCCACCAAAAAGTCTGCAAATCTCTCGCAGCACCAAGTAACTGCTAAGGCTTCTTTTTCAACTTGTGCATATCTTCGCTATGTATTTGTAAGGTATCTTGACACATAATAGACTGGTTTCAAATCTATGTCTTCATATTGCATCAGTACACCACCCATGCCATAGGATGATGCATCAGCGGATATCTTTGTTAGCTTTTGAGGACTGTAGTGAATGAGTAAAGGTGCTGTACTCATCTGTTTCTTTAACTTCTGGAATGCTTGTTCCTGCGGGTCATCCCAGGTCCATATTGTTTCTTTTTTGTTTTTGTTGTAAATCCCTCAACGTCTTCGTCGTTTCTGCCAGACCGGGTGCAAACTTTCCTATGTGATTCAACATGTCCAGGAAACCTCGGACACCGGCTATCTTTTCTGGTCTCTTCAATGTAGGCCTCTGTTGTTTCGTCTTGTTTTTGTTTCCTCTTGTGAAACTTGTACGACTCGTAGGCTGCATGTGTCTTTCCTATGCAAAAGTCGTCAAAAGCCTGTATGACGTTTTGGAGATTTTTCTTATCTGCCTCGTCCTCGAAGTGGAAACCTTCGAAAATGTCTACAGCTTCTCCAATCGTCGCTAGAAACACTGCACATTGGCGATCTTCTTCTTCTTTGTTTAATCTGGTGGCGATCGCATAATTTTCGAAGTTTTTCTTAAACTTGTTCCACCCTTGTGCTAAAGTTGTGCCTTCTGTTACGTTTAATTTTGGTGGAAGAGGTGCGTATATATACATATATATATGTATAATAT